AGGACTAAAGTATCTAGACTTATGAATTTTCTAACGTTATACTCACATGACGTGACGTGAGCATGTAAAACGTGGTGCTCAGTGGCACCTCATTTCACATCATTTTTCCACTATATTTTATACACCAACTCATGTTTACAAACAAACTGGAGCGCTCCTCGCCGACGCCATCGTAGCCGGGCATGCGCGATGGGGTGTGGGCAAGAAGCTCGCCGCGTCGCCGATAAACAAACCATTGAATTGCGTTGTTGTCGGCGGCGGTGTGAGTCCCCGTGCACTTTTCTGCGTTGGAATTGTTGATTCTACGTCTTCCTGGGCAATGCCTGACTACTTGAGCAGCCTCAGCGAAATTACCGAGGCTCGCTACACCACAAAACTTCGCGTGAATAATGTGACATGCGGCGATTCATTCCGCGTGGACGCCGCAGAGGATACGCTAAAGCCTGATTCGCATGATGAAATTTCGGTCGCAATTTTCAGTCATGACGTCGCTCGGGCTACAACAGCGTGAACCGTTGCTGAGATGTTCAACATCGATACTGAAAATCGCAAGCAGAATTGGACAAAGTGAATGAGGCATAACAAGTCGTTGATGGTCACTGGTAACAACGATTAACATCTCCGCACTCACTTCTTATCGCAAGTATCGGGCCAACATTTGGTCCACGGGCCGGTGTCGTCTAAAAGAGCAGACGACGAGCAGAAGCGTTTGAAAGAGCAGACGACAGTTCGAGCAATCAGGCGGCCGTTCGATCTTGAAGACGCAGTGAACGTCCGCATGCAGGCGGTCCCAACAACTTTTCGGTATTCCCGCTTTCATGACGGAACAAAACAAATATATCTGATGACAACAAGTATCCGTGAATTTAACCCAAACTGCTTCCCGCCCAAGCAATCGTGGTCCGACGGCGACTGGTTTTCCATTTTCACGGCACATATCCACGTTCTCGGACGAACCGAGCACATGAAAACTGATCTTCAAACCTTTCTCGACTCTTTTGGTACAGCCCCAGCCGCGGCGTTTTGACGAGAAGGCAAGTTTTTGTCAGTTTTTTTTTTAATACAACGCTAGAATACACGTCTCACATAGGGACTTCCGCCTTCAGTCCCTGACCGGAAGTGCGCCCGACGCGCGACCACCGCGCCGTGACGTAACAGAGATGAGTTCGTTGGTTCGTGTATTGCCAGAACATAATTTTGGCGACATATTCACCTATACATGAACTCATCTCTGTTAAGTAACGGCGCGGTGGTGGCGCGTCGGGCGTAACAGAGATGCTCCTTAAAACAAAAACCAAAAGGCTCCTTAAAACCAAAACCGACAGACTCCACACGTAACCAGTAACAAAAAAGAACAGGCCACAACGGGTCGACAAAGGACGTAAGAGGAAAAACCCGAACAGCGAACTTTTCCCTACACTTGGCAAGGTCAAACTTTGTACCTACAAGTTGCCTCAAGCTTGAAACACAAAAGTTTATCCCAAGCTTGAAACACAAAAGTTTATCCCAAGCTTGAAACACAAAAGCACTAATCACAAACGAGCGTGTTGGGGACGAATTAAGTAAGTGCTTATACTTCCTGTTTACACGTCTAAGAAACTAGGGAGTTTTGTGTATTGTTCCAATAATTCCTGTAAGGATACCCGATACTCCTCTGTCGTCTTAGTGCATGCGTAGTATCGTTATTGGGTATCGTTACCGAGCACAAAAACCGTCTACAAGAACTCCCTACCGTTTATCGTTTTTCTAGTGAAATTAAAGACGACGTTGGCAAGGAGAAGCAAGCTAACTAATCTCGAAGGGAAGGGAAACAGAGGTCGTCTTCGCTCCTTCAGCTCCCCTTGATAACCGGTGATTTCTTCAAGCAGACAGAGCCAGTGAGGACGCCTTCAGCGAACATCAAACATAGTCTTTGAGATGAATAGAGGCAGGTTCTTAATTTTGTTTTCGTTACAAAAGAAAGGTCATTTTGGAACAAGGTCTGGTGGGAAATGCAAGAAGGGAGGTTGGGTAAACAGCTCGTCCACACTTCTAGACGGGGAACACAGCCTGTCATAAAAACTGGACATGTCAGGCTCTAAAGAGCGTGGGAAAGTAAAAGCTCTTTAGTGAACCGACGATACGTGCCCCAGAACAGCACGGCGACGTGCATGAAAAAAGTTTAAAAAAACGCGGCAAGCCCGGTTCAATAGTTTTCCATGTTTTAAAAATAACAGGCTTATTCTGCTCTTTGCGCACCTCGTGTGTTTGTTTACCCCTCAGACGCTCTGACGTACCTCTATTTACACCTGGTTTTGACCAATGACGGCGCGCGCTTTTCTGTCTCGTCTTCGCGCGTTCTGTGAGCTCCCTTTATGTTTCCCGCTGATTGTTGTGCCACTCTTCGTATTTACTTCTTTTCAATAAGTCACGATAACGTTCGCAAGCGTGGAAGACAAGTTTTGGTACCCCTACTTGCACGTCGTACAAACACTTACTTCGAATTTGACTTCGACCTCGACCGCGCACCTTGTTTCTCATTGGTAGCCTGCTTGCAACAGCAGGATGACGGTGATGACAACGCAATCGCGGTCTGCTTGTGGTCCTGTGTGCGACGGACATGTTAGGAACGCGGACGTGGGCGACAAACCGTGATGCCAATCGGCTGCTTCCTCACATTTTTAAAATTATCATAATTCTCCGGCATATGGATAAAGCCCGTAATCTTCCGTGATTTTTCTAGAATAGCGTCAAGCCTTCCCGAGATCTTAGATGCTAAATAGCGTTTGAAAAAATCCGGAAGCGGCCGAAACAGATCAAATCCGGCGCACGCTTTTTCGTGTGGACGGATAAAAACGAGCGTATGCCGCATATTACCAGCATCATAGAATATCTGTAAGCATTATATTAAGCGAGAGCGAGAAAACCAACATTGTATAGTCCAGTTAAGGTCGCACCAGTACTCGCGTAAAAGCTCCGGGAAGACGGTTTTATTTGTGTTTCCTTGAGGGGTGCGCGCACGCACGCGCTTACAAAAGACAAAAACATGGTCGCACGGACACACGCAGATGCAATCAACGCGAAGAAAAACCCTCCCGTGGCAGAATAGCACACTGGCAAAACGACACCTTCCCCGGCCCCCCACACACAATGACACACACAGACACACACACCGAAAGGAGGAGCCGCCAAGCCGCGCCGCGTAAACGGAACCCCACGGCCATGCAGGAGGCTCAAACGTCTGCCGCGCACAGACAAAGCCCCCCTAACGTTCGCTAAGCTGCACATGTACTACGCGACGCGGGTACGCACGCCCGCAGTATCGGGGCAAGGGAGCCGGAGGTCCGCCAAACTCGTTGGAGTCGCCGCTGAGTCTGTGCCGGTTCAAACATCCCCCCCCTCCCCCCCAATCCCCATCTGGGAAGCGCTGGTGCCGCTTCGTCTGCAATACACAGTCCCCTCCCCATTTCCGATTTCGCGCTTAAGCCGCGCACAGTCGCACACGCAAAATGTCACATCCTCTCTCAAAGTCCTCCAAAGCAAACGCCCCCTGCAGTTGCTTCCCCAAACGTTACCAGACCACCCCTACGAATCTCGTTCTACGCTCTAACAGAAGTTCCTTCCAAGTTTCTGCTCCGTCTGCACTCTATACTAACCGCCGCAGCATGTTTGTGCGTGTAAGGGCACCAACATGCTGCAGACACTTCCAAATGTCAAGTCGGCTATCAGTCGCGAAGAGTACGGACACGCAAGCAAACCCATAACGACATCTCCTGAGTCCTGACTCCTAGTTCACGAACTCAGTCCCCATCACATCACAAATTCAGTTCACGAATTCATTCACCATCACATCACGTATACGCCAGAGTCACGAAGTCCTTCACTACTGCATCACGGGTGCGTCAGAGTTCACGAGGTCACTCCCCGTCACATCACGGCTCCTTCCGAGTTCATGAAGTCAGTCCCCTTCGCATCACGACTCGTTCCGCATTCACGAAGTCACATCCCCTTCACATCACGGGTTCTTTCGCGTTCACGGAGTCACGCCCATTCACATCACGACTCCTTCCGTGTTCACGAAGTCACATCCCCTTCACATCACGGGTTCTTTCGCGTTCACGGAGTCACGCCCATTCACATCACGACTCCTTCCGCGTTCACGAAGTCACATCCCCTTCACATCACGACTTCGTCCGAGTTCACGAAGTCATTCACAGCCCTTCACCATGACGCGGTGAGCGTGAGTGAGTGTGAGTGAGCGAGTTCGTGAGTGACTTCGCCGAGGTATGCACGGGAGCGTGGAGAGCGAGATGCGCATACGTTCTTTCGGATGTGAAACGCCCATACCGCTAGGATTTATGATGATACTGTAGGCGCACTGTGTAATGCAAATGAGCGGAGTAGAATGTGTTCTTTCTATTAAAGTATTTGGTGGCGATTTCGCTAACTGGACTATCCTTCTTACCTTTCGCACTTCCCACATATCCTTGCTACGTAAAGTCATCTGTGATAACTGTTCCCATCTGCTTCATTGGCTCATCCCTTCGATCTTTTTACCCCCCCCCCCCCCACCCCACCTCTCAGATGTGATGATAAAGTGCTGCTCCAACTTAGTGTTATCAGTCTCACGATTCGACTTCAGGCGTTTCCAAATTGTCTCGATTGCCTTTCTATCGTTTTATTTACTTTAAATATCTATGGTGTACGCTCTCGACCACATTATTGCAGTGCATGAACCAGGGAAAAAAAAAACGAGTGTGAAACAATTATGAAATCACAGTCGATCTTGGCCATCTCTTTCAGGCTCTAAGTAAGAGTTTCGGTTTCTTTGATTCCTGCTAGTTGCCGCTCGTTGCCGCTCGTTGTATTTTGTAAAGAAATATTAATTTGGAATTGCTGAAAATTATCGGAAATATTAATTTCCGACCCATAAAAACCATAAAAACTTAACCACGAGTAGTCATTTGACACTTATTCAAAGGTATGTATGTACATACAATTGAAGGGTCCCATGTTCTTACCCTGGCAAGCATGGCCGCGTACGTTGCGTCTGCGCGCCACGGCAAAGGCAGGGCCCAGTTCTTCAAGGGATCTGCTTCACTGTCCAACAAATCGCCAAGAAAGATAAAAAAAAGAAAGGAACAAATTCAGATTTGCGCTCAAACACTCTTCTTTGATTCACAATGTATTTTGCTTTCTGTAAGCGTGCCTCCCTTCATTTTAATGAGGACAGTCAGGCAAAGTTTAACAAACACAATCTTACCTTAGTTATAGGGGCCGTACAACGATATTTGCCTAGAATGTTTTTCACTTTGCACTAGCTTACTGGAACTAGTGGGACCCAAGTATACTGGCATAACGCCACTGACCAAGAAACTCATTTGTTACGGAGTAATTTCAAGGAAAAAAGCGAGAGTTTTCTTTCCTGTGCTTTGCCAACCCTAGCGCGTGTCTATGATCCACATTTACGGCGTATAATCGGCTCCAGATCACGTGGCCGCTTGTTTTGACTGCGAGTTGAGGGATGAACGCTGCTCGCTATTCTTTATTATTTTTTTCCTGCGACTTCTATTGAGTGTGGTGAAAAACGAACTCTTTTTTTCATGGGCCTTTAACGTCAGGGAATCGTTCTAAGCGGTATTTGCGCAAAGAACAAAAATCGTTGCCATCGCCCCTTTAACTTTCATCCGCAGCACCTCAGCGCAGCATATATTGAAACAAGTTGCCCAAACCACTACTTCGAAAGTGCCCGAAAGTGATCAAACCTCCTGGACAGCCTCAGAAGGCAAGTCGACATTCCTCTCCGACCTTTGGGGGCTCCAAAGAAACTGCGTCTCTTCCTTCCAGATTCCGCAGTCTTCTATACTTCTTTGCACCCCGAAAGTACACTGGACGGTCGACGTTCTGGCTTAACTGTTGATGTATCACTGAGCATTGCAAAGGTCCGGTCTATTTTGGGTAATTATAGTCGCACTGCTAGCGTGACATCGATGAAAAACACTACTTCTTTCCACCCAGCCTGGCACACCTCCGCAGAATTTCTAGAGTTCGTCTTTTTCGCACATTTTTTTTATCACAGCACTCTACTCAGAAATCAGGTGATAACGCCACCATCATTTCCGTGCGTCTGGATCACCTTTTCACCTTTACCAAAGTAGGCGTCCCCTTTTGCCATTATAAACAACTTTTTTTTTTGCATAGAAATTCGATTGAATGGAATCATCTATACCTGCATCGCTTGTACATCAGTTGTTGCTTGTGTTCTTTTATGTTCAAGTTTTGGCAAAACATGCATTCCCCGTTGCTTAATTGTTCTACATTTTCCACTGTTATTCGGTTTGTTTTCTCTCCACTCCCCTTTGTAATACCTCTGACCCCGAGGCTAAACTAAACAAATAAATGAATGCAGCTGTATTTCGGTCTATGTATCAAACCGTCAAATACAGAATTGCGTTTTGTGAGGGACGCGGCGGATGCCGACTCCAGTCTCAGACTTCCAGGCACGCCACACCGTGAGTCTACTCAATTTCACGTGAAGTCCGACCCGCAAACCGACGCCACAATCAGATGGGGCCAACCGGGCAGCGCCAAAACCGTCACGGCGCCCGTGCATAGTGAGTGCCTTCGCTGTAACCGACCAAATCAACCGCGCATAGTGAGTGCGCCGTAGAGCACTTATAATCTACGCCAGAGGTTCAGCTGGCGCCAGTGTCTATACGACTTGCAGGATGCAAATTGAAACAGATAGCAACCAAGCTACTTTTGCAGTGCTCCTTTCTAGTCCTATGCGGAAAACGCGTGCATTTTGTCTCTTCGCCGGATAATAAACAGGAATCATCTTTATTTATTGGTTCGTAGCGAATACTAGGTGACTTTATTCACTTTGTGAAAGTTTAATTGCTCTAGTTAGCTCATTTTTCCTTCATCGGTGAAAGATGCTAATCTTTCAGGCCCATACCTTTGTTCCATAGCAGGTATGTAAAAACGAGCAACGATTCTAAGCAAACTGACAATCGAAAGGAATATAAAGTGTGTGTTCAAGGTTCGTCGGCATTCCGGTGGCGCTTTTATATTGCTAATATGCCAGTTCTGTCAATGTATGAAAACGACCCCGTCGCGCATCCCTACGAGCTGTTAAAAAGAATAAAGTACGCGGGCTATGAAGGGTGTTCCTTTTAATTATTTCCTATGCCGGGCAGCTTTTATCGGGTACCTGTTCTCTGACTTCTCCCTATTTTCAAAGGTTTCGAGCGTGCGGGTGATGTTTTGAACGCAGAACAAACATCTCGCACTGCATGAGCAGAATGAATCAAATGGTACTTATTTATTGCAAATCGGACTATATTACGTGGCTTTCAATTTATTTTGATCGCCTGCATGCACAAGGAGTTACTTATCAGTGTTACTGCGTAGTTCTTGCCGCCTCTCTTGGTTTTCCAAATGTCCTTCGTTCGTTTGGCACGTAAAGCCCCCATGCTGTAAAGCGCCGACGCCGTGTTCGCCCTAACAGTGTCCGACAGTGCACATAAATGCATGCATGAAGAAGCTGTATGAAGCCATGCATTTAAACGAAAAGCACTTTAACTGACCAATATTTTTATTTACGTAATTGAGAAATGTGCCAAGCTACTTACTACGTCAGAGTTTTTCCTAATATATGCTCTTTAAATGAAGCGAAGGGATAAAATTCTCCCGCGATTCCCCTATAAATGCGTTAACGAAAGTCAATTTTCGGCTGGTTGCTGTCTGCCTCAATTTGCGACAGTAATTGAACCTCTAGCGTACATAATACTAACCCTATGCAGTGCGCCGCGTTCCTGCGCTTTTTTTTTTTTTTCTGTGAGTGATTGGTTTAGTCGCAGAAACGCACAAAGACAACGAGCGCTATGACGAAGCACTTTGGGCCCTGCTTGGTCGATTCCAAGCGTCGGCTGCGGTCAGCCTAAAGCGAAAGGGGGTGTAGCGTCGCCACCACCTCCTTTGGTAAATTTTTTTTTTTTTTTTAATCTTTTGCAGTCTCGGAGGCTGGAGACCCCTGTTCTGCCTTTCTGTTCAATTGTTCTCTTTTGTCGTTGTTGTTCTCACACTTGCGTTGCGTGGCCGGCGAAGTTCGCGGTGTGGGAGTTTGGCAGCCGGCCAACTCCTTTCGACCGTGGCCACGGTTAACGGACTAACAAGTAACAACCCATTCACACCGTCAGCACTGCAATCGGCGAGTCAGCCCCGCACTCTTTGGGTCGCGAGCGTGCACGAAGCGGGCGGAGAGTCGCGAACTGATTAACCGCTGGCCATAAAGGTCCCTTAGCTAAAGGTCCAGACAGGTACAAGTTACTCAAACAAAGTAATTAAGTTAAGTTACTGAGTATTAGCCTCAAAAGTAATTTGAGTAGAGTAAAAGTTATACAAATGAAAAGTAATTGAGTAAATTTCTAATTACCGCAAAAAGTAGCAAATTACTTTTGAAGCTACTTTTATATCTAGGCTGTTTCACGTAAGAGTGACAAAAATTCCTAAAAGTAGTGTATTTGAGGTAAACGGTTAATTTTATCGGGACGGCATTACTCGTGGTGGCGGACGTCAGAAAATGCACAATATTATTAATTAGTTCGCTAATTAACTAAAATAACAAAATGACTTTTTAATTAGAGAAAATATACAGACCACTTCAATTAGAAACTTGCTGAGCGTCATCGAAACCCAGACATTTTCAGAAAGACTTTGAGTGCGTGAGAAGCGTAGTAGTACACTAAAGTCACTCGTGGAGCAGGTAAAAGTCTAGTGGTTGCAGTTAGGCGCCCGTGCGATTTTTCGGTCTCTTATCAGAGCCCCAGCCTTGTACCTGCTTTACGAGTGGTAACTTAAGCTCACTACTACGCTTCTCACGCGCTCAAAGTCTTTCTGAAAATTACTGATCTAGTGGTTTTCAATGACGCTCAGCAAGTTTCTAATTGGAATTATATGTATATTTTCACCAATTAGAAAGTTAATGAGTCATTTTAGTTAATTAGCGAACTCATTAGTAAGTATCGCGCATTTTCTGACATCCGCCACCACGAGTAATGCGGTCCCTAGAAAAATATCCTTTTACCTCGAATACACTAATTTTAGGAATTTTGTCATTCTTAGGTATCTTTGTTTATGGTAATAAGAAAGTACCTAGCTTTTTATCCGTTCGCGAAATTCTGCTAGCAAAAATATGAAGCAGTATATGTTATCAAAGATTTTGGTTTTAATAGCTGCATGGTTCTGCTTCTGCGTGCATAATTGTTTTGTACTTTTTTTCTTTTTTGGTCAATGATGTACTGCGGATGTATCATTTCTACTTTGAGTTTAGCACAGCCTCAGCCTGATTTTGCAGATAGTGTTTGCTTATTTACAGTGTTGCGCAAAGTACATCTAAAAAGTACTTGGAGTAAAGTACAAAGTAAATTAGAGGTTATTTACTAAAAGTAAAGTAGTAAGTACAGCGGGTGCAATGTGCATGAAGTAAAGTACTATAAAAACAATGTACTTTCAAAGTAAAGAACAAGTACTTTTTAACACAATCTTTCGTGATGCCCTTTTATCTCCTATACAGTGTTTTTTTGTTTTGTTTTTTTAACTGGCATGCGTTGCTTCAGTGGTAATCAAAAGTGCATCAGTTTTTTTTGTTTTTTTTTTTCGGAAATGGCGGCAAGGATAAAGTCAAGTAGCCACAGAGTTTTACTCTCTCTGACGAACTATTTGACACAATCAACTTATAAGGCACTTATACGTATCGGGCTTATAGCCGCCATTACATGACTCGGAGAAATGACCAGATGACGTCTCGAAAGACGATAGCGCGCTTTCACATGACAATACTCCATTTTTTTTTTTTTATTTTGCAAATTAGGGTAATCTACTTTGAAGTCGGGAGTCGTACTTTCCTCAGAAAGTGCAAGAAAACAATACCTTAGTAAAGTACAAGTGCATGGTCAAAGAATGTACGTCATGTAAAGTACAAGGATTCTAAGCCTACTTGAAGTAGTAAAGTAGTACAGGGTGTCACAAATGAAAATTTACACGGTCTTTTTTACCGCAAAAATAAACTAGGCATCGCAGAACGCTCATTTTCCGCCCAAAGGTAAAGCTAGAGGTCACAACCAGATGCCGAAGTTTCAGCCCGATCCGATAACTTAATCAAAAGTTATAAGTGATTTTCCGAAAATTTCAATGGGAAAATGGACCCCATTTTCGTTCGTTTTCGGTTCCTGGTGCCATAGAGCCCCATGTTTTTGAAAACTCCGTCGGCCGCCATTTTCCCATTGAAATTTTCAGAAAATCATTTATAACTTTTGATTAAGTTATCGGATCGGGTTGAAACTTTGGCATCTGGTTGTGACCTCTAGCGCTACCTTTGGGCGGAGAATGAGCGTTCGGCGATGCCTAGTTTATTTTTGCGGTAAAAAAGACCGTGTAAATTTTCTTTTGTGACACCCTGTACATTAAGTACCATGTACTATCGGGGAAAAATGAAATGCGAACAGAGGAGCGCGTGGCTCGCGGTACAGGCTGCGCCACCTGGAAGTGAGCCTAGGGACGAGGGTGCGTGGCCTACTACGATGTGTTCACGCCACTCGCTCAGCGCTCCTCAAGCTTCGGCAGCGCGCCTCTTAGTGCGCTGAAAGCTATCACCGCTATCTTTGCTGGCTCAGCGCGTGCGGTGCAAAGAAGCTCGCCGCACTCGCCGAGCAGGCCAAGATAGCGGTGACAGCTTTCAGCGCACTGAGAGGCGCACTGCCGAAGCTGGGGGAGCACCAATCGAGGGGCGTGAACACATCGAAGTAGGCCACGCACCCTCGACCCTAGGTTCAATTCCAGGCGGCGCAGCCTGTACCGCGAGCCACGCGCTCCTCTGTTCACATTTCATTTTTCCCCGATAGTACATAGAGTACCTCCCAACACTGCTTGTTGATTATTTTTTTAATGTAAAAACGTTGGGGGAATTACTAAGGTTTCTGGAACGATATTCGAATCTTGGGAGTCCTCCATATTCTGAGTGTTGGGAGCAAAGGCAACGCAAAGTGGTCACCTCTGCGTTGCCCTTTAGCACACGATTGTTCAAATACAGCATAATAAACATGAAGCACCAGATGAGCTTCAGAGCGGGTACTGCATTTTGTAGCCTCTTTTGAGCGAGGATGCAGTATGCACACCTCCTGTAGTGGGCGAGGGTCCCTACGATTAAGGAAAAGCGGGGACAAGTCCTTTTTCCAAATGCGTCAAGTCTCCTTGAGCTCTTTGGGACACAAAGAAAACGCCAGTCTTCGGCGCTAATCCCGCAGTTACTCGGCCTCACTTCCGGCGTGTCTGTCCGCTCCCCGCGCCTCGTGGAAGGGTTGTTGCAGTGGAGGGCTCGTGAAAATTTTAGGGGGTTTTGGACCCTCCAAATTACTCACGCCCCCCCCCCCCCCCCCCCCCCCCGGGCCAACCCCTAGCCTACGCCACATGTTTCCCCCTCTTTGTAAGCATCAGCTAATCTTCCAACATTTTATCTTTTTTTGTGTGCAGGAATGTTTGTTGATAAGCAAACCTACCACTAAAATTCGAAAGTAATTTGTAATTTCAGGAGAAGTTACCCTGAAAAAGTAATGAAACTAAACTAATAATTACCGAAACAAAATTGTAATTAAAAGTTCCTAAACTACTAAAAAAAAAGTAGTTAAACTACAGTAACTTGACTAGAGTAGTTGATCGTGAATAGGGTATTAGAGGCCGCCGTGTCACGCTTCACTTTTCCAGGCTAAATCTAAGCACGGTGCTTAGATAAGCTACTTACTGTTGTGGAACTTTTGGTGGTTTCCGCCCTAATAACTTTTGTCACCATGAGCGGCGCTGATGCAAGTAGGAGTGCAGAAGAGTGAATAGGAACGATATATTAAGGAAAAAATACATGGTGAAATTTTTTATACACGTTAAATAAAGCTGATGCAGCACCCTTCATGTGGTGTTTTATGTATTCCAAAGTAATATGACCCCTAAGACTCAAGCAGACTTGTACCGTACGCATTACAAGTAATCAAATTACTTGTAATCGATTACTTCATGGAGTAATTTTGTAATCAGTTGATTACTTTTATTAGTCAGTAATCACAAGAGTAATCTGATTACTTTTTGAAGTAATGAAATTACTTGCAACCGTTACAATTTGTCCACAAGAACCCCCCCCCCCCCCCCCCCCCGGGCACACGCCTTTTTTTTTATGAAATGACAAAAATAAAATTTGCTTTTTTTTTTTTTTCGAACGAAAAAAAGAAAGGTTTTTGCGGAGCTGTAGGAATCCAGGTCAATCTCTTTCTATGTACAATTTCTGTAAAATGTCCGTTTTTTTTTTTCGTTTTTTTTCGAGCTGGGATTGGGAGTGGGAAGCCCCAGGGAAGCTACAGTCCGTGACAAAGGCCATTCAGGGCGAAGTTTAAGGAAGCAGGATGTAGCTTTGTGAGTCCTTCGTTCAAACTAGCCCCCTCACGCACACACACATAAATAAAATAATACAAAAATCCTGCTTAGGGTACCTACTCGCAGCCAGTAAGAGAACCAGAACCGAAGAATGCCTAAAGCGGAAGCAAAATATAACAAAGGCAGTTGAAATATTTCCCCATTTCCCCTACGTGGTCTTTGTGACAAGCAATGTTTCGAGTTGAGAAGTGGTCGGAGCGATCTCTTCCGCTAATTGATACAACACATGATCCGTTTCAAGTCCTGGAGCTGCTGTTTTTTGTATAACATGCGAGCTCATCCACATGTGAATAATAAAATGAGCGACAACCCTTGCTCAAGCTTAACAGCCCCCCCTCCCCCACACACACACACACTGGCGAACGCCCAAATCATTAAACGTCTTCAAACGAATTCTATACTTGTGTCCGCATTGTGAAGGTGCAACGACCACGAAGAGGGAGCCAGTTTTTCTTCTTCAATACTTGCGCAAATGTGAAATATAGGTTGGAAGTAGTTCATTGTTATGAGCGCTAAAGTTGTGTTTTCACACAATAAAGTAATCGGAAAAGTAACGATTACTTCTTTAAGTAATGTCCAATTACTTTTGACGTCGGGTAATCAAGTAATCTAATCCAATACTTTTGAGCCAAGAGTAAAAGTAATTGTAATCGATTACTTTTTTTTAGTAACGTGTACAAGACTGGACTCAAGTATAAATAACGTTTGCAATTGTCCATCTTTTGAACGGGTCCGGGAGTCTTTGCGGGAGCGCAGACGCATCCAGCGACTTTTTCCACGGTGGCTTCTCCGAACTCGCGTACGTTTGTTTTGCGAGCGATCTCATTTGTTCACTCCTGAAGTTAGCAGCGCGTCCATGGTGTTTTAATCTGTCCCTAGAGGAATCCTTCCCACAGCGTGGCGAAAACATTCCAGGCCAGCTAATCTAAAGACCGTGATCCAAGTTAGCTTGAATAAGAATACAATTCTGCATGAATAACTCACTCGTTTATGCACGGTTTCGAGGCCAAGGTCGGGCATCGGTCCCTGATCCTGGATAGTGCTTCCTTTTCGCGGACTACGATGTCCGGCGTCGAGGCCTCACCCTGCACGCAGCCGTGCAGCGAAGGACGGACCACATGAAGTAACAAAAGTAAGCTGGCAAGCTTGCATGGACGTACACTATAGCCTATCGCCTGCAAAGTTAGTGTTCCGGCGCATCAAGTCACTTTACGATACACGGAGTATATGGGATTCCAGCAAAGGAAGATTAGAACTTGACACCTCCGACAGTAATGACCGAGAGAACTCAGCGTGTCGTTGTTTCTTTGAAGCATGTACGCTTGTCACATTGTCCTACTAAATTGTTGAGCCATTTTAATGCGCCGAGAAAGTGAGGGAGGGGAGGATACGAGAGGGGACGGTCCAAACGACGAGCTCTGGTTGGAAGGACTATAGTGGGCACACCTAAAGCTCGCTGCCCTTGTCCCCACTGCACTCGTCAAATGCGGAACGCCGGCGTCTAGCGTTTGACTCTCGTATTCAAATGTGTTCGACGAGTGCAAAGGCAGATAGCTCCACGTGTATACCCGCTAATCCTTCCAACCAGAGCTCGGTGTTCTCCCTCACTCTCTCGGTGCATTAAGTTTAGCAGACATGGTGGTTTTTCAACGTAAAATACGGTGACCCCTTTTTTATGTGCTCTGGTTGGCAATCCTGCCATTAAGAATATATTTTTATCTTAATTTTTTTTCAATACCGGGTCTTAAAGCATTAGCATCATTGTGTTTTTTACTACGCGCTGTACACGCCGAGGGAAATTGGAACGTCCTACCATTTTTATTTTATGTCCGAGCGTGGTGGCGGGGAAAAAAAGGACAAACATAAAACATGGGAGACGCGAAAAAAGCTTCGCGTCAAGGTCCCGTCACTGTGCTCTTTTTTTCACACAAGTTGCTCAGTGAACACATTGCATGCATGAGTTTGTCACTGCCCCTATGTGGTCGCTCTTTTTGGCAGATGCGCGCGGCGGTTAAGACGGCGTACCTTCTCGTGAACGGAGAGGAAATCGAGGCGCGAGCCGCTGCGATCAATGTGGTCGAGCAGCGCCCACGCCAGGGGTGCCCTTTTCTTGGAGCCCAAGTTCTCGGCTGGTCCTCCGAAGCGTAGCCGGGGGGAAGCCTGCTGCAAGCCGTCAGCCGAAGCGTCATAGTAGCTGCACAGACCTGCGCGTGGACTTCCCTTAAAGGCACGCCGTTCGCAGTCCCCTCATTCCAGCCCCACTCTACGCTCAAGCGATACAAAGGTCAAGCTCATATAAGCCATATAGCCCAAGAGGGGCTACATCCATTATGTGACTTTGATGTCAAGGTGTAACTTAACAACGTGACATCAACTGACTAAAAGGCAAGTTGGAGTGTCATGTGACGTCATGATATCACGTGGCACCGTGACGTCAGATAAGGTCACACATAGCATGTGCCCATCTCATTCGCAAAACGTTATGTCCGGCTACGAGTTTAGCAAATATGGTCGTGATGTCGTTGAAGTGTTTTACAATAAAATGCAGCAAAAAGAAATTTAACAAGAAGCGGTGTGCCTGTGAGCACGGGGCATACGCAATGACCAATCGCTGAAACGACGAAGCCCGCGTCGCTCGTTGGTGAACAGTATAGTCTCACCTATACTGTTTAGAAATCTGTGTTTTCGGAGTTTATTTCTCGTGAAATTCGGCGGGTATTTTTCGGAGTTTATTTTCCGCTGAAAAATCGAGGTTAATCGGAGTTTATTTTTTGTTAGATTCCCAATTCTTTGAAAATCGGAATTTAATTTTACTCTGGTCCCAATTTTTCAAAATTAAATATTAAAATAATGAAAAGAAGTTTAGACATAAACGTACCCTAAATTAATCATAACTCACTTGTACGGAATGATATTCCTGCAGCTGCATTGGCATTGGCGCTTTGCCATTAAAATACTAACTATTCCACGACTAATGTTGCAAAAAAATGGTGAGTTGCGTCAGTTGGTTCATAATGGGAAAAGACAAGCGCCGAAAGACATGGACAAGGTAAGAAGACGACGACACCAAGGCGCACTCGCAACTGAAGTTTTATTTATGGAAAAATATAGTCTTATATACACTTTTAAGAAACACCCACGTCACTTTCCACGTGCCCACTCTTTATCCAAGAATAGACGCTCTTTTTCTGACAGTCACAGAAGGCTCGCTTATGCACTTATCTGCACCCTTCCTTATTGCATACGCCTCATGATTTTCCCTTGTAATCTTTTTGCTGTATCGCCCCAGGATTGCCACGTCAATGAAAACTGGTGTGCACTAACGTCGGTTGCAATGCACAGCCAGGTGCCCCGAAGGTGACTGTTTTAAGGAAGCAGCATGCTCTCTTGCGCGATCATTTACACAACGCCCAGTTTGGCCTACGTAATACCTACCGCAGGAAAGCGGAATGTCACACACAACACCGGTGTGACATTCCACGAACTTATTCTGGTGTTTTTCTTCTTACACTCGTCACTCTTCCCTTCGGCATCATTGATTTCCCTGCATAACGCAGAGAGCTTTTTAGGGGCTGAAAATACGACAGGAACGTCGTAACGTTCCGCCACCTTTTTTAAGTTATGAGACACTGCGTGAATGTAAGGGATTACTGCGGTTCTTATTTTTTTGCGTTCAAGAACGTTTCTTTCCGCACCCCTCAATTTCTTTTTGAGACACTCTGCAGCTTCAACAATGAATCTCAGCGGAAAACCCGCACTTGCGAGCCGATCTACCTGTAGAAGGAAACTCCTTCCCATTTCCTCAGGACAGGATTTGTTCAGAGCGGCTCCGAGACACGAAGAGGCAATACCTCTTTTTACTAACTTGGAGTGGGCAGAATTAAAAGGGAGTACACCTTTCTTAGAGCGAGGTTCGTAAGCCCAGCACACATGGTCATCTAATTTTAGTTTTAAATCCAAAAATTGTAACGAGCCCTCCGTGGTCCTCTCATGAGTGAATTTTAACCCATGAGAGCAGGACGTGAACGTGCCGATTACGTCAGCCACCTTGTTATCAGTGAGTTTGTTCCCTGGGACGGCGATGACCAGATAATCATCAACATACCTGTATATTTTAAAAAGGCTATCACTTTCGACCTTCTCAAGAATAGCGTGGTCGCACTGTGTTGATGAAAAAGAGCGTCTATTCTTGGATAAAGAGTGGGCACGTGGAAAGTGACGTGGGTGTTTTTTAAAAATGTATATAAGACTATGTTTTTCCATAAATAAAACTTCAGTTGCGAGTGCGCCTTGGTGTCGTCGTCTTTTTACCTTGTAATAGTCTTTCGGCGCTTGTCTTTTCCCATAAAGTTGCAAAGTTCTGCCTCCATAACAGTCGATACTTTGAAATACCTAAAATCCTGAACGTAGTCGCTGGGAAGCATGGAAGCTTCAGCTGCAGCCCTCCCTCTCCATTGAAATATACGGGTTCACAGCTACCACTTTTCTAAAAGCACTACCCCTCTTTCCTCTATGAAGCACACAAATATTATGGTCCAGACTAGAAACCTGACCAATGTATATAGTCGTAATCCAGAGTGACCCGTCGTTCTCAACGAACCTTGACGAACTAAAAGGTAAATCCTCTTTTATTAGTAGTCCGAGATTTCAAAGGAAACTGAAGCTGCGTTTCTTCAGGACCGCTGACCCTGGCTTTTAATAAATGCATTGGTAAAATGCCATCTTTTTAACGATTTATTTTTCCGCCGTGACCTCGAAATTTGAATTTTTTTTTTCGGATAAATCCGTATCGACGGAAATTTTACCGGTAAGTGTTGTCCGATTTTTTTTTTTTTATTTGTTCGCAAACACGGAACCCTATATTCTATCTCACAAAATTGTGTGCGGGGCCGAAGGCATAGGCACGACAGCGTCATACGCGAACTGCTTTGTTCGCGCCAGTGGTTTGCTGGAAAAACGCTTATTCGGTTTAAGTTCATCTCCAAGCAGAATATCGAGAAACAACGAAAGCCATTCATTTTGCTTATCTTTCTGCTGTTATTTACAACGTAATACACGGATATTGCTCACACAACTAAAACACACGAAGCATTTCCAGTGAACGTATGTTTTGTACATAATTGTTAAAGCTGGAAAATTTATTTACTTATTTATTTATTCAAAATACCTCGAAGTCCCATTCGGCATTACAAATTAATCTATGAATCTACAGAATGATCAAATATAGGCACTAATTCTCGACTGATTTCTCAACGCAGTTAATCGATTAAAAATGGTTGTCATGAGCACCATCCTCGTCTCGCTGTCAAACTCAACATCAAGGTGATGATCACTGAAGAAGCTTGTGTTCCACAAAAACGTCATGCTTTCAAAGTATACAACCGCATCCTATGCATTCCAGCAGCGCGAAAAGATTCTTAGAACGGCAGAACTCGTAAGAACAACGAACTCGGCGCATCCGGAAAGCATAAATAAATGTTTGTTTACGAAGCTGGCTGAAACAAACTCAAGAAAATTGCCAGTAGAATGTCATAGATGATATTCTTTATAAGCTATACTATATTTGTGACCTAGCTCCCTACTGCATAACATTCCTTCCCATTGGTGTTGTTTCGTTTTTCATGCTGTACGAGGAATGAGCTAAGCGCCGCGCTGTTTCGTTTTGTTTTTTAAAGTCTGCTAGCTTAGACTTAAATCGAATTGTTTTTTTTTTATTTTTTATTTTTTTAGTGAAGGAGCGCATAGTTAACACTTTTCAACTACCAATCATTTTAACTCGCATCTCGACGTCAGTGAAAATGCGTATATATTTCGTTTTGTCATCTGTTTACCATGCAATCATGCCAAGAACTTTGAATGCGTACCTAAAAAAATGAATTAAGAAAACTAATGAATGCACTAAACCGCACCCTTTAAAGGCTACACACTAAAATAATTTGCATCCTTAAGGATGTAAATTATTTTCGTCTTGCGACGCACTTCTAGCTGAATACGTCGGCCAGATTGGCCGATCTATAAACTATAGTCTAGGAGAGCATCAAAACGAGGCAACATCAAAAGTCGATCACCGACGCATCCCATCGCTGTCCATATGAAGGAGTGCTTTAGGGCGGCACCGGACTTCAGCAGCACCAAAGTCCTAGCAAAATATCGTCAACGATTCGGACGGGAAATCGTTGAAACATACTTCGTCGAGGTTTAGCGCACTCGAAAAACTGTCACTCAAGCATTCACACACCCAAAGAACACTCCTCTCACACAGCGCAATAGGAAGTATTCACTGGCGGCCATAGCTGTGTGCGCGACTGCTGAGCGCGTGCTGATGGCGAGCTTCCACAGTTCTTTTGTAACGTGCATTCCGCACCCTCGAGATTGCCGGTCTTAGCAGCTTATTAATGTGGGCTCGTTCTGAGCATGCGCTCTCGACAGCACCCACAAATATGGCGCCCAATGAATACTCCTTATACAAAGTTGTTAGTGAGCGCTGTGTGAGAGGAGTGTTCTTTGGGTGTGTGAATCCTTGAGTGACACTTTTTCGAGTGCGCTAAACGTCGAGAAACATGAACAACCAACTCGCCCAATCTCAAGTTCTTACAAACGTACTTCGTCGAAAAAGAAAAAAGGAACGCCTCATCTGCATCGTTAACCCTGGCAAGACTTGAAATGGAATTTATCCGCCCAGAACTAGAAAACTAATAAACACACACAGTCACGGTACGGTGGCTCAGTGCTTATCTGCCCTCCCGATTAGGACCCCTTCCCTTCTGCCCTCCCCTGTTTTTAATGCGGATCCTAGCATCCTGGTTGACGCACGAATTTTTCGTGCCCGAAAATAAACATTCGTCGTTGCTAACTGAAAAGTCGTCTGTGAACGTGCTCCTTGTTTTTGATTCTTTCTATTTGAAGAACCCCTCTCTTCCACCGCATACTCTCGGCTGAGTACCTGTCTCCGTAAAGTTGCGTCCGTAGTCCTCGCTGTCCGGCTCGTTCCACGATTCGAAGTTCCATTGGGTCACGGAATCCTCGCCGTAGCGCCCTGCGCAAAAGTCACTTGTGGTGAACATATTTTTTTATTCACTAATTGAATTGACACCCGTGAGGCTAGGGCAGGAGTGGTATATATTTTATAAGCGGAGAGAAATCTTATGTACAAGGCAAGCTTACAAGTTCATCGGCACAATTACAAGTTCATCGGCAACGACGGGAGGCGGGCTGAAGGGAGTGAGAAAGTATACACCCCTCCGCGGGAGTTCTACAACTGAGGGAATCTAATAGCGTTGCGTTGGCTCCGGCCTAGAATAATCGGTCCTAAACGTCACGGCACGAACGCCACGAGCCGCAGAGAGAAACGTGCCCTCGTATCGCGCGAATCGAATATTCGACAGCACCAACAGAGCAGGCCATCCTTCGGATGTGATCGGCAGCACCGCTGAATATGTTTTGCGATGGAAGTATGTAAGTACATTTTATCGGGGGTATTCTGGACGTCTCCGCTTCTCATAATTGATTTTCTCGCATGTTCAGTGTCAATACATTTTTTCTTCGAAAGCCATATATACGTTCCCGAATTCAGCGCTCGTCAGTGGACATGCCCACACTGAATAAGCGGAACACGTTATCGTGCCAAATTCAACGCACTCCTTTGTATACCTCCGCCATCCCCGTTGGCTGAACGCATTACATAAAACACTAGCCGAGAACGCCAAATTGTGGCCGTCGCAGCATTTGGGCTATCGGTGTGTTAACGGCGTAGCAGTATATAGCATGTGGGGATCCGTGAAGCGAGATATCGTCTGCACGCGACGTGCCCAGCCCTCAGTACGCCGCTCTTCGATGGACTGCGAACTCTAAATACGGCTCCTTCTCGCTGCTACTCATACCATAGCCTCCTCTATACTCACAAAGCCTGGCAGTTCGACGACGGAGCCATAGAGTGCCCGGTCGCAGATTTGGAGCGCGATGGTCTGGTAGCACAGAGCGTTTCTCGGGGAGCCTGTAGTCAGCACACAGCTTTTGCAGCGGCGAGGACCCGAAACATGGTTTTCAAACCCAACGAGAAAAGAAGCGGTAGTCCCAAGGTTTCAATTCTTGTCTCAAAGTTTCAATTCTTAATTAGACAAGAAGCGGTAGCGCCAGGAACGCGAGGAACACGAGCGGACATTCCATCGCTCGGGACAAGTGTGTTTCGGCGTCTCGCCGCAGTGGGGCGCCCGTTACATGCCTCTCCTCTCATTCATTGTCTGCCGCTCTACCTTTTCACTTCGGCGGCCGCGTCTCGTGGCGATCTGTCAGGCTTTGTCAGTATGGATGAGGCTAGTGTCACTAAATAAGCTACGCTTCAGAGTAACGACACTTGGCCATATTGTGGCTTAAAATCATGGTTGCCAGTTATCTGAAGCTTTATCTGAAATCACAGGAAATGCTTTTCCGCCCTTAACAAATGTTTAAACCGTTCGCGACAGAGCAAAGCAATATTACATGACCTTCCTAACACCGAATCTAATGCTGAGGAAGTCGCACTTTTGAATCATGACGATCGGCCGTTGCGTCTGTTCTGCATACGAGCCAAAATGGCGGCGCCCACAACAATGTCGGGGAACGGAGTGCCGATACTCTAAGCGCAGCTTATTTAGTGGCTCTAGATGAGGCTATGCTCATACGCATATTGTTACTCATGAGCCAAAGTAAACATGACTAAACTTTGGTTTATTCAATCCTCTCTAAAGACGCTTTTCCACGACTATAACACACCATACAAAGGACAGTTTACAGACGCTGTCTCGGACGTTTTTCTTCCTTTTATGACGGCCACATTGGTCATGAAAATACGTCTGCAGACATTTTGGAAGTATGTCTGCAGCATGTTCGAAGTATGAATCGAACATGCTTGAGGCCTATCCGCAGATAATTGCGTCGTCACGTCGGCAGCGAACACCGTATACCTTTGTGCGATGTCTGGGCAGTGTGACTGCAGCCTAAAGGTGCCCTGAGGATGTTTCTGAGATCGCCCATAGATTGCGATAATTCACCCTGCTGGCGCTAAGCATCCTAGAAATCCCTAAATCATGACGATGCGCGGCCCAATCTCTCTTATATATATATAAAAAAAAACACTCAAAGATCTCAACACACCGAAGTCATCTCCGGCGATGGGAGGAGCGTGTTCCGAAACCAGGACCACTATCAGTGAATAGCAAGCGAAGGATCCTCGCGCCTCCGAACAGTGGAACAGCGGAGTGATATCTGGAATGCGCGCGGTTCGTTGCCCATACAGCCCGGACTACGATTCAAACCAGCGAGCGCGCCCTCGAGAGCTGACGACCAAACGCATCAATCCCGCAAAAAAGAAAAAAAAGAAAAAAAGTGCGTTGTTTTTCAGACGATTGTGTCAGTATTAAAATCCCCCTCCAAAAAAAAATTAACATTTTTTGACCACTCTTATTTACTTTTATCATCAACAAAAGCATACACATTTTGTAATAACAGCGCTTGCAATCTCAACGAATTGACACGTTTTCCTTGGTCACATGTCGTCCTGGCTGCCCGGAACAAGGCTCCTTCCATCTCCGGAGATGACCTCGGAATGTTCGATCTTTGATTGCTTTTTGATAGGTAAATCGGACGCGCATCGTTATAATTTATACATTTCTACTCTCTAAAAAAAAAATGTGTGCTTCTTTATTTTTTTTTTTTTAATGAGGAACTCGCGTGTCCCATGTATTGCTCTCCTAAGAATGGAGGAACATTGCCATCTATTTTTGCTCGTGGAGAAAAAGTTCGTCCCCTAAGAAGGGAGGAAGATTGCTACTTTTTTTCTCTCAATGAAGGAAACTTTCTCACCTCGTGTAATTAATATAGCTTCCACCAGATGGCGCTCAAAACGGAAAAATAAAACAAAAAACCGAGAAGCGCCTTTTTTTTGTTTCCAAGTTCCCCCGATTTTTGTACGCTTTTGTACAAGCAGCCACGTGGCTTAATGCCTACGCTATTCCTCCAACGCTGATCATATCCACGCTCTGGGGTTGGCAAAGTAAAAAAACACGTGCTGAGCTCCAGGTCATCGTTAGAGTTCGGCTTTTCTCATCACCGCAGTAGTTAGACACGAGCCACTAGCCGACTGTGTGCCGAGGCTTTGATTGTTACGAGCCGAAACGATTGCTCACGCAGTTCTCGTGTCCAACTCGTGTGTGATCGAAACCACCCGCCTGACAATAGTCAGGCGGGTGGTTTCGATCACACACAAGTGGGCATCGGTGGCCGAGTGGGCTAGCGCACACCAGCTCGGAGCACGTGGAGCGAAAGCTCGCGGTGCAGAACCCAGGGATCCTGGGCTCAATCCTCTCCTCTGCCCGTTTCGATCTGGATGAGCATCGTACCGGCGTGCGGTCGTGTATCATTACTGCGTGGTGCTCGTTAGAGACCCCAGGCTAGCGGTTGTACTGCACTGGCTAAATAGCTCATCTATAGCGAGTGACTCGTGGCAACGTTGAAATGGCTGACCAACTACACGCTGTATAAACGTGCACACAACCCCAATTATTATTAAAGATCTACCAATATGCCGATGACACCCTCGTGTTTTTCCACTTTCCACAAAAAAAAATGAATTTGTTTTCTAGAGTTACGGGGAGTGGTGTCAGGAAGAGGACATAGGTCGAAGTCAAGCCTGTTTTTGCCGGAGAACTGCGAGATTTTATTGCAGTTTAGAGAATGGGTCTAAGACGATGCATGTATGACGTATAGTGATGCCATGGCAACGCGCAATACCTCGCCGCCGTGCTCTTTCCTTTCAGTTTCAAGAGGCATCCCGGCCAATCCGGCGTTACTGCGAGCTCCATGAATCCTAGGGCCAAACCGAAAAGGCACATGCTTTTAGTGCTGGAGTGACTCGGATGGCTTGTTGCTTGACATACCTCCGCTATTCACTGGCGCCTTTTCTTTTAAGTGTTTGTAAATTGCACAGACTACTGCATCTCTCGGCACGAGCGCGTAGCTCAAGTATTGTGGACTAGCGTACCATAGCTTTATTTCATCATAAATGCAACCGAAGACGAAGTGTTTCTATTATGTTTCTATTGCCTACACTGACGTCACACTAGCTATCATTATGGTATACCTTTGCTGAAGGCAGACTTGGAAGTAATCCGTTGCAAGTAACGGGATTACTCGTAATTAATTACTTTTCTTGTAATTTAGTAATTATTCCGTTAGTTTTTTTTTTGAAAATGTAATTTGTATTGTAATCTCATTACTTTTTTCAGCAAGGAATTACTGAAATTACTCGTTACAATTCATCCGTCCCGTCAAAGGGAGAAATAGAGGGGAAGAAGGGCGATACAACGGGCTTCGGACTTTGGTGAGACTCTGGTGAGTTGCTGGTGAGGGAAAGGAATTCGCGGAAAGCACGACAGCCCAGCCAGAGACCGTTTCTCGACTCGTTCGTACGGTCAGCCAGGCTGGGAGGATTCGACCCTCTACAGAAAGGCAACAGGCTTCGACTTCTTGGAAAACGAACGGACTGCTTCGAGCTTACAAAAGGGCAGAAAACGAATGAACCATAAAATCGAGGCGTGGGGTTTGTGTCGAGTGGGACCGTGGACAGAGTTACCGTGGTGCATACGTCCGCTCCCTTCCTCCCTCCCCCCTCTCCTCTACCCTCCTTCTTCCCTCCCCCATCCTCCACGCTTTGTTTCCCTAAAACAATTTTTTTTAACAAAACCGTGCTTTGCTAGTTGATGTTTCCGCCTATACAGACGCTCATCCCGCAAGCAGAGTGGCAGCTCTAATGAAACCTCGATTCTGATCATCCTTGACAGCGCTGTGAAAGCCGAATACTGGCTGGGCCAACCAGCTATGTGGCTCCTGTCGCTTGATTTCACACTGGCGGATGCGTCGGGCGAAACATGAGGGATCCGATGGCGGCAGTGCATTGGAACAAAGAAAAATCTAGCATCAACCCTGCTGTAAGTTTAAACAGGAAATTTCGACAGGAGAGATTGCTGGTCGGAAAGCAGAACAAAACGGCTTGGGACATCC